CGTAAACCATGGTTTACGAATATGTGAAACTGCAGAGGACTTGGGTATAGTTTGATCAGTAATGTCATTGAGGATATCAGAAAACAATTGTATAGGATCTTCGCTGTTTGCAAATACGTCATGTGTTAAGTGTCCAACACACAAAGCCTCATATAATGACCAATCAGCCCTGGCGAAGTTCCTTCTTGATGAAGGTGGATCATCACCAGGGTTAATTGCTTTGAGAATGGTGGGGAAGTGATCACTCCCATATAGTTCATCATGAACCATGCATTCCAATTCATTATATAAGTTGGAATCGGCAAGTGACAGATCAAGGGAAGAATATGTTCTCCCGAAGGTGAAAGGAGTGGTAATCAGTATACTGTCTCAGATTAAAGTTATCAGTATTTGTTAGATAAGTCTCTTGAAGACATAATGCTGATGGTTTACAATTTTGTATCAATAAGTGGATCTCATTGAAGTTATTTTTCAATCCTCTGCAATTCCACTGCATTAAAGTCGACAATTGAGTCATGGTGGCTCAATTGGCGATAGTTCTCGTGGATGTGAGGAGGAACTATTCCTCCGCCTGTCTTGTGTAGACAGGGTAACTTCCATATTTAGAGGCCCAAAGGAGTTTTCTAGAGGAACCTCTGAAGTTGAAGGGATGAAGGGTGATTTTCTGTTTAATTTCTTTCCTTTCCCGTTTTTCGTATTGACATTTACAGGTTGAGATGAATTGCCAGACAGACTGTTGGTGGGGCGGTGGGGTAGCCTAGTGGTTAAAGCGTTGGCTTGTCACGCCGAAGACCCGGGTTCGAATCTCCACATGGGTACAATTTGTGAAGCCCATTTCTGGTGTCCCCCGCCGTGATCCATGGCCGAACTTCTGACATTTATAACACCGGAGTGGAATGCTGACATACACCTCCACTCCAATGTTGAAATATCCTGCTTTAATTGAGGTTGGAATACGAGAACGAGCAAACGTCAAGAGATGGGTATTGGTGTTAACGATAGCACCATCTCTCTTGACGGTAAAACGTTTCACTGCCGTAACTGCTTGTTCATTTAGTTCTGTAGCAATATCCTCTTCAGTCATGTCAGCAAGACATCTGGCTCTGTCAGGAACGATGCCGCGACAGGAATATAAAGTTCTGTGCACAGACACAGCAACCTTGATATTTGCAAATGTTGCAGATTCAGAGATTGCTGCCTCCGTGCACACTCGAGCAGAAGCGAGCCACTACGGAGGCGGGTGACATTCGTCACTTTCCCCCAAATTCCAGAAATTGATTTGGATATAGCAAATGGATTTAATTTTAACGGTCGTTTATCTTTTCCTTCGATTAGAAGGAATCGAGCCCATAAATCAACATTATTAGACTGATGTTTGTTAGATTGATCAATGGCATCTATTCGTTTCTTTGTTTCGTTTCGATTCGAACCAGGTTGTTTTGGATCCATAATGGAAAGTAAGCATTCAGCACCCCTGCTCCCCATCCACCAGGATTGTCCTCCCGGATTGTCAACAAGGACAGTGTCATACAGCACCAGATCTCCGAGATGCTGACATCAGGGAAACAAGGGTGTTATACTCCAGAGAATATGACATGAATAGCGGCATTTATCTACCAATTATATGCCAGACTGGTTCTGCCCATGACAAGAAATTGGAGACATGCACCATTCAGAGGTCAACATCAACAGACTGACCCATGAGCCACCGCCTTCTGGCATAGGACTCTAGGCAAACATATATTAGATAATGTTAAATACAAACATTCACTATCACAAATGCACAATGATGTACAGTAATTGCAATAAGAATGTGTCCATGCACAGGGCATGGCGTGACCAGCCGATTGATAGAACCGGGCCAGTTCTACCACCCGTGTAGCTGATGTAAGGGGCGAAGAGGTGTGTTGGGCAAAAGGAACACGGTTCCAGGCACCCAGTGCCCTCAACCACCAGACTCTCGTCCGGCAAACGGATTGGTGGACCAAATATGCCCCCGGATCCACAAGGGGGGTAGAGTCTGGCTACAACTCATCCGCACCTGGTGCCGAATTATGTGTTCTTGATATGGCTGCCTTAAGTTCATCATGAGTGATAGCTGTATTGATTTCCAAGCTACTTTCCAATACGGCAGGAAGACATTTCAGGCAGAAAGTTTGTTTCAAAGACTTGTTTATATTCTCTGTATTCATGACAATAATTTTCAGAACTGCTAACAGATTGAAATTGTTTAACAAGGTCATTTACGTTCTGACTTTTTGATATGTGTTCCCAATTTTCTCCCATTACGGTAAAGGTGAACGAATATTATTTCTACCGATCGTTTTCACCTTGGACCAGATACTAGTAAATGATGTAAATCTATTAATATTACAAAATATCCGTACAATACGTTGGAACGTAGCTCGTTTCTTACGAAAATCAGCCAAATCACATGGCAATGACGAGTAACGAACCTTATTATATGCCTTCTTCCTTGCGTTATTGGCTTTTTTACAGCTGTCATTCCACCAGAACTTTGACGGAAATGCCGCTTTCTTAACAGACGATTTTCCAATGGAGTCTTCTGCAATTCTTATTAATTTTGTTGTGATATTTTCATTAGACATATGAACATCACCATTTAAAAGATCGGATGTAATATGTTCAGCACACAGACCAGAAAAAGTGCCAAATTAGCCTTCTTGAATTTCCACCGAGGGACATTATGACAAGAATCACGATATGGTCGAACCTGAATTTCAGTAAAAACAGGAAAATGGTCACTACCTAACGCATCTTCCTGAAATACATCCCAGTTACACTTAGTGGCAATGAGTGATGATATCATTGATAGATCTAAAGGAGAAAATGGTCATTTTACCATCGTTTAAAAGGACAAGATCTGCTTCATCTAAAAATTGTTAAACTATCTGACCATTATAATCCGTCTTGTTGCTTCCCCAAAACATATTATGGCTGTTAAAGTCCCCACATATAAAATATGGGCCTCCATTGGGATCACTTAATTTCAGATATTCATCTACGTTCGGCTTACCTGTATTATAAATATTAACAATAGTAATGGCTTTATCTTCCTCATAATGAATTTTTACTGCGTTAGCCTCATACACTGTATTTGGTAATTCGTGAACCTGATACGACAAATCAGTCTTAATAAATATAGCACAACCACCTCTCCGAGGATTTTTAGTACTCGGACTAATGGTGTGTCCTGACGGAGACCAAGATTGCCATTAATTCTAAAATGACTCTCTGGCCAAAGAAAAGTTTCCTGTACACAAATAATATCCGGCTGTGGTGACCTATTTGATAGAAAATGCTTTAAATTATCCCCATGGGCAACAAGACTTTGTGCATTCCATTGCATTATGGTCAGGAATACTAAAGCTTTATCCATCATTCATCTCAACATGTACCTCACTCAACAGATCACTAGGAACATCGATGTGAAGATGTATTTTTTGCCGCCGACACAAGACGATTAATCTGTTCCTCTTTGGTTGTTGCATTAAGGCATCCTGAAATCACCTCAAACAAGAACGTTAAAAAGGTTTGAGGAGAAGTACTAAGAAATGGATTGGCTACCTGTGGAGAGCTGACTTGAGCTGTAACAGGTGAATTCGACACATTTACAAATACAGGTAGGGTTAGACCCAGATCTAGCTGCAAGAGGAACGGGACGGGTTCCAACTGTTGATTGCGAGGCTTGTAACGACACAGACCGTGATTTCTGAGCTTCTGTTACAGTAGCTGCATAAGATGGAGTTGGAGTGGACTTGACTATACGAGTTGCTTCAGCATAAGACAGTTTACTCTCTACTCGTACCCTTTGCACAGATACTGCCTCCTTGTTTTTCTCACATCCCTTGTAGGCAGCACTGTGGCTGCCACCACAACTGCAACACTTTGATACTTTTTCCGAACAACTTTCTACCTTGTGCTCACCACTGCACCTGGGACATACAGGCTTTTTTACTTTTACATCGGGTTGAAACATGGCCAAACTTCTGGCAATTGTAGCATCTAATAGCTGGTGGGATATACAGACGCACATGAAAGTACTGATAATACATCCTAACACGTTCAGGCAAATGTGGGGTTGAGAAAGTCAGAAGAATAGAAGTAGTAAGTTCCTTTTCTTTTCCACGCAAAAGTCTTTGGGCACATTTAACCTTTTTGACATTTCAATTGCTCAAATATCTCATCCTCATTTACATCTGTGTCAACATTGTAAATAACTCCCTTCGATTCACTACGACTCTTTAGGACAGAACTCTTGACACGAACGTCACAGACACACGCTACATTCAGTTCAAGGTTAAGTTGCTCAGCAGTCCTGCAGTTTATCACTAAATCTCCCTTTTCCAGTTTTTTCATATACTCCACATCGCCAATGTTTTAATGAATATCCCGAACCAAAGCAATTGGACTAATTTTGGGTCAACAGAAGTAAGAATGACAACAATTTTGATAATGACGTAATGACGAAGTCGTATCATTTATAACTCGGTCATCCACATGTTTTCGTTTCAAACGTTTCGAAATCATTGACAGGTAATTGTCTGCAAATTCAGCATCTGTCGAGGTTTCCTCAAATGAGGTACAATGAATATTATCATCCCAATTCCCATCAGTGTCGCTCTCCATACCCAAATATTTCTGTGACCAAGACGAAATGAAAACTTTCACTCAGACACAATGCGCGAAAACTGAGGCCACGTGGTGCGGTAAGTCAACGCGGCACAACAAAACACACAAATATGGCAAAATGAGCCAATATTTGACCCTATGCAGCCAAAATCACTTACCTTAATGATAATACGGAAATATAAGCCAAACGCAGTTATGAATATCAAATTCTAGACCCAACACAGGCCCTTACAGCGGAGCGGCTGACAAGCACGCCCGACCCTGTCAACAGCCTAAGGCGGTTTCCCACTACACACATACATGGTATTTGATTAATCTGCCCTTGTGCTTATCCTTATTTGTCTTACCCATCTGGCAAAAGCTTCCGAACCATGGTGGTATGCAAACTGGGCCCGTTGAAGGTGCTGTACATGGAGTGTTGGGGAAATCTGAGCAGCCATTTGAACAGTGGCATGACACTGCAACACAGAAAGAAGTCACTTGATAGAACCTTGAGCATAGTATCTGAATATTACCTACGTCCTATTATTATTACACTATTGAACAGTGGTATATATCAGGTCGTTTGGAAAATTTTAATATGGAAGAACACTTCTCATTGTAAATGGGGAACTTTAAACCACAATTAATTTTTGAGGGTAAAGTTGTAGTTTAAACATAATCATTTGTGTGATCTGTTTATGCAAGAATGTTGATAAAATATATTTTCCCTGAAGTGACTCACAGGAGCTAGTACTTATATCAACAGTAACCATGCAGTTCAGATGCTAAAACCGCCTCCGTGGTGTAGTTGGTTAGAGCGTCCGCCCGGAGAGCGGAAGGTCGCGGGTTCGATCCCCGACCGCGTCATACCAAAAGACGTTAAAATCTGGTACTTGTTGGTCCCTGCCTGTCGCTCGGCATTAATGGGTACAACAAGGACTGGTCAGCTCGGAGTCAGTAAAATGTGTCTGAGTGGGGAATTCATGCTTCACTGCGGCATGGTATCTCAGTGGGCTAGCACTATAAAACCAGCTTCAGTCTGGGCTAGTACAAGCAGCCGCACCTACACATACACACGCATGCACGTCGTCATATGAGCGAATATTCTCAAGCACGACGATAAACCCAATTTCACCTCATCTCACCTCACCTCAGATGTTAAAATATATATTGTCGAATGTATTTAAGAGCAGCAGAAGATAAAGCGGGTGCTAGATGTTCACTACTGTCAGGAGGGTGTGTGTGTGTGTGTGTGTGTGTGAGTGTTAATGGTGAGAGGTAAGTGTGTCGAGGGGTATAGGTGAAGAGGGATTTTATGGCAGGAGAATTAGAATTTTAGTCATATGTATTTTTCATCAGATGAAGACATCGAGTAGACGATGTTTACTGTTGTATGAATCGGGTTTGGTGATTGGTGAGGACTTCAATATTTATGTCTGTTTGCATATTTACCTTTCATCTTACCAATCACATGCACCTGGCAATGTGTTAAGTAACGCCTGCTATGACAATCGTCACATTGCTGCCCTCTATGGGTTGTTTCAATATCTATGCATTTGAACAAGGCTAGCTGGAGGGACATTGTTTGAAACTATCCACTTAACATTTCAATACTGAGACAAGGTTTCCTCAGACACTTGCGTGGTGGATGTTATTTGGGAGCAGTTTTGTGGAATGGCAGTTTTCAAGGGGTTGTAGTTATTGTTATTCAATTTCAACATTTGGACATTATTGTTTGGTCTGTTTGTATCATTACCTTTCTTCTCGCCAAACACCTGCACCTCACAAAGTGCCAAGTAAGGCCCCGCCATTACAACGGTTACAGTGTCGCCCTCTATAGGTTGTATACAGCTGAGAGTCACAGGGTTACTTATCAGCTGATCTAGAGAATCTGTGATGTCTGTCAGAGGTAGCTTTCTACATGTTCTGTTGTTGACCAATACTTCCATTGCTTGATAGTGGTCAATGGCTGCAATAGAGCATATGTTACACATAAATAATCAAAATACAACTGACGTTTACAAAAGAAACGTCGCGTGGTATGTTCCTTCGGTTTACATACACAACATGGACTCTTTATCGAAGGCAAGTTATTGTCGGGTCTGTAAACAGTTAAGTAAGTCCACTTTACACATCAGTTCAAATCCTTAGCTTCAGCAGTCTGCTGTCAGACAGGAAGTGTTTATGGTCATACACTTTATTTTGTTCTCATGAAAGAGAGAGAACATAGCTTACCGTTACTACGGAGATAGATTGTGATCCGGCTGATTAGGAACGTCCCACCAAGAAGAACATGCCAGCTGGCATTCCCACCATCTACTTCGTCTGTATGTGAACAACTACCACTGTTCCAGTCTGTGCTGACATCCCCGTCATCAGCTTTACCGGCATCATATGTACCGGTATTGTCTGTCCATGTGCTGCTCTGACTGGCAGGTTTTCCACGTGCGATGTTATCTATCAACAAAACGATAACATGTTATAACAGTAATGGTATAAATAATAGAGTGTGTGTTGGTTGTATCTAGGCCATATCTATGAAGGTATGCATTATGTTCATTGAAACGCAAAACATATTTAATACCTAAGTATGAGGTTTGAGGTTTGCTTACCTTGTGATTCTGCTCACACAATGTTACCTCATAAGACACCTTTCTGAAGTTAATGTCAATGTCAGTTATGAGCTGAGATTAATACTGAGCTATAACGAAGATCATAGTTTCACCTGTTTCTGTTGACTGGATATATAAACCTCAGACTTAGTTGCCATTACAACTGCTATTGTACCACCGCTATGTGTGTCACTGCTATTGTACCACTACTGTTGTACCACTGCTATTGTACCACTGCTGTTGTACCACTGCTATGTGTACCACTGCTATTGTACCACTGCTATGTGTACCACTGCTATTGTACCACTGCTATGTGTACCACTGCTATTGTACCACTGCTGTTGTACCACCGCTACTGTACCACTGCTATGTGTACCACTGCTATGTGTACCACCGCTATGTGTACCACCGCTATGTGTACCACTGCTATTGTACCACTGCTATGTGTACCACTGCTATGTGTACCACTGCTATGTGTACCACCGCTATGTGTACCACTGCTATGTGTACCACTGCTATGTGTACCACCGCTATTTGTACCACTGCTATGTGTACCACCGCTATGTGTACCAACGCTATGTGTACCACCGCTATGTGTACTATATACACATCCATACACGCAAAGTTTATTCTTGAAAAGTAAAGTAAACAATAACCATTTCAAAAGCAGATTATTTAAACCTAAAACACAAACACCTTACGTCAACACAAGGCCTTGGTTACAACGGACTGGACACGTGACAAACCGAGCAACTATAAAAAACCTACGACAGCTGTCCGCTAATGGGTGTTGCCTACTCATTTTAGGATCATGGAGTGAGTGAGTGAGTTTAGTTTTACGCCGCACTCAGAAATATTCCAGCTAAATGGCGACGGTCTGTGAATAATCGAGTCTGTACCATGCAGTGATCAACAGCATGAGCATCGACCTGCGCAACTGGGAACCCATGACATGTGTCAACCAAGTCAGCGAGCATGACTACCCGATCAAGTTAGTCGCCTCTTACGACAAGCATGGGTTACTGAAGATCAATATTCTAACCCGGACCGTCATGGGTCTTAGGATCTTGGAACCTTACTGCAAATTGTAAGCCAATCAAATGCCATTACCTGCGAGTTATGTATTTTTGCTTACATTTTGTTTGTAATTACTGACTATGCTGGCTTCATCTCGACATTCGACTGAGGACGAAAGTGGAACTACTCTCATCTATGTCTCCTCTTTCCATACACGAATGATCTACTCCCGATAAACATAACTATTTCCAACAAAATACCAAAGATATATTGGCACACTACCCATGCATGTCAAGGAGCGAATCATCAACATGTTTTACTAAAAAGGTTTAGTCACTGAATGGTTACGGTATTGCAGGAGACGATACATTTCGTATTGTCATTCTGGACTGTAGTTGTGTCATTATCGTGACTTTAATACGGTTCCGAGCATCACTTAAACACAAAACTTTAAGCCAAAAGATGACCTTGAATTTGATGTTATAAACAATATCGTCATAAATGTCCAAATATCAAGCAGTTCCACCTCGTGGCATGAATCTCTTTTGTGTTCGACTGTAAGCACAGACAAGTTCGTAAGTAAATAGGTAGGTAAGTTAGTAAATAAACAAAATATAAATAATCATATAAACAAACAAACAGATAAACAATGCTTGGTGTTTATGTATAACATCTACGTGTAAAGAACACAGCAGTCTAGAACTTACACATCTGACAGTACCTTCCAGACCAGTCTGTCTGACAAGCTGGAGGAGGCACTGAACACACGTCGGGGGGAGGACTGCATCCATTCTTGTAGTGACAACTTGATCCTGGTCCTCGTGTAACATATAAGTAACATACTGACAGAGCAGATTGTGAAGGGGAATACATAATGTAACAACAGAGTATATTCTGAAATCAAATACATGGTTCACAGCTCTGAATTCGAATAGTTCACTCTTTCTGTCAAGGTGATCCGACAAAAGTCAATCAGTTCATCTGTTCACACAGTTTATTCGGCCACCTCTAAGAAGTTCACATATAGATTGTCAGGAACCTACTCTAACCCGGAATACCAACACAGGCATTTAAATAACTCAATTGTACCTTGTGCAGCTGTAACCGACACGGCCTGGATGATCACCAACAGACAGATAACAGAACTCATCTTACACAGGTCGGGTACTGAAACAAACTTGATTTGTAGTAATGAAATGAAAATTAGAAAAGGTAATCACAGGATACAGTAGGGAATAAAGCTAAGGCACCATATAGGTTACAAAACAACTAAACTGACGGGCGAAAGTAGCGAGTCTCTCTGGCAGTGTGAGGTCTCGCGTTGTCATGTTGTAGGAGTACACCCCGGGGTTGATTCTGTAGGAAGGGTACCACAACTGGCGGTAGGATCTGTCCGATGTACCCCCGTGCATTGAGATTGCCCTGCACTACAACCAGACGGGTCTTCTGGTCTCCACAGATACCGCCCCAAACCATGACTCCACCCCCGCCGAATGGATGAACTTCTCTGATGCATGGCCTTGCTAAACGTTCCCCTCGTCGACGATATACCCGTTCTTTGCCATCACACTTGTAAAGGGTGAAACGGCTTTCATCGGAAAAGAGAACACGTCGCCAATCTCGGACTTGCCACCTGTATACTTTGCCTTGCCCACCGCTGTCTGTTTTGGCGATGTCTGAGGGTCAGGACCATTCCGCGGAAAGGCCGGTAAGCCCTTATACCAGCTAATCTCAATCTTCGGGTCACTGTGCGACGACTGATACGATGCCCGAGTGCCGTAGCCGCCGTCGACGTTGCCGTCACGAACCTGTTCCGGAGATGGATAGTCCGGATGTAGCGGTCTTCTATGGGTGTAGTGACCCGTGGCCGTCCACTTCTCGGCCTGTCTTGAGTGCTACCAGTATTCCGGTAACGTGTGAACAGCCTGGAGACTGTTGCTGGGGTACAGCCGAACGTTCTGGCAAGATGAGCTTGGGTAGCTCCCATATCGCGCATTCCCAATGGCTCGCTCTCGCTGAATTTGTGTCAGCTTCGGCATTTTTGCATGTGCTTTCAGTTACTGTGATATGCCAGCGTGTATCCATCCCATTTCTACCCGACTGGTGCACGTGCATGTTCGTGATTTTCAACGATTACATGTTATACCTTTTTCTCGTGCTAGGGGTCACGTGACTACATCTACTGACATCACTACCATTCTGCAATATTCTCGTGACTTTGACAATGTTTGCTTTGGATGTTTCATTGGAATTTAGACATGCTCAATTTCCCCAAACCAAATTGAAAACGTTATACTAACTTTTGCCCGTCAGTTTACTTGTTAGATGCCTTTTTGTACAGTATGTGCAAAAATTGCTTCGATGAAGATTCAGTTAAATATTCAGTCATCTGTAACTATAATGAGCGCCAAAAGCTACATTAGGATATCAAAATATAGATAGAATCACTTGTGTCAATTTTGAACAATTAACCTTCAAACTAACGCGCATACCAATCGAGAATGAGTGATGAGGAGAGCAATATCAGCTGTTTGTTCTTACACAAGCTATATCCATTATTACGTAACAATGGTTTTCGTCGAAGCAGACATAATGAATACGTAAGGTCACTGTTTACAGTTATACCTAGTGTTCAACACTCTGGACTATTCCTTCACATAAACCTTAGCTGACGCATTGTTCAAATCATGCAAAAGCAAACAAGCGTTCCCAAAATTCGAAAAACAGATCCCGAGTATCAGCTTGCCAACTTCTGTATTGTTCTTCAGAAACTACCTCGTGTCAGTCCTTTGGAGAATTGGTGGGAGACGACAAAGTTGACATTGTAGGTATATAAATCAACATCCGTGCAGTGTAATACACTAGACATATATATTCTCTTTCAGCGTTCTCAATGTGCTTTTTGTGCATTTTATTTACTTGTGAACACACATGCCTATTCCGATGCAAATAGTCAACTTCTGTTTTTCAAAAAAAAGCGTCGAATAATTGTTGCTTAAAGTTGTTTAATTACATTTACAACATTGAAGGTTACAGTAAATCTTCCAATGTGGAGGACATGTCCAAATCTGGCGCAACAGTCACATAATTCTCCATTTGGACATGTACCACATGTACCTATTGTTTCAGATGTACAATGGAATTGTCTTTGCGTGTGTTTATGACCGGTGTCATCGTTGGGGAAGGATACGTTCATCTTTCCGCCAACACCTGGTATCATCCCTGTCTAAATTGTTGGATATCGTCGGAATCGACCAATCAACCCTGCTTTTAGCAGAGAACTCTGATAAATCTTGAAAGGGTTTGTAATATACTGAACCGAAAAGAAACGCCACCTTTCAAAACCAAATGCACAATTTTGTTCTACCAAGGTGGTGTTTTTTTTATGATTGTACTGTTATATCAACATGTTTATCAATCCATATTGACAGTTATTACCAACATCAGAGTGTTTTCTAACGAAAAAGCATATAGACCAAACGCACCTAAAAAGGCGGACATGGTAAAAGATTCTGTAAGACATTCGAGAAAATGAAAATGCGCGTGCATATCGTGACAGCCCTACCAATGATCAAGAGTCCCAAACTTGCCTGAAATCATTCTTGTTTTGACACATTCGCTGCACCACGACTTACGAGAGATCAGAGGAACCAAGCCTTGGGACGACTAAAAGTTGGCCAAACTGCACGAAGGGTAGCCAATCATGTTAATGTTCATGTTAGAACAATCTACCGATTGCAGGAGTGGTATCAGGTCACAAACAGCAGTCAAGACCGTCCACGCAGTGGGCGACCTCCAGTAACATCACAGCGTCAAGACCGAGGGCAATTGGCAACTCAGAATCGAAATTGGCGTCATCGACAATGGAGAACAGTGTTTTTTTCTGATGAAGGCCGATATTGTGTTTCGACAACCGATGGCAGAGTGGGAGTATGGTGAAGGCGTGGAGAATGGTTTTCCGATGAGTGTATTGTTGAAAAGAGACTCATGGGGTGGTCCAAGCATCATGGTGTGGGGTGCAATCGGTCTGAACCAGAGAGTTGCCCACACTTCCAGAGCAACATTGGACTTCGTAGGACTACATGGCATCCAAACCCTACAATGGCCGGCACTCAGTCCGGATTCAGGTCCAACAGAACACCTTTGGGACGAGATTCAAAGACTGAATGACCTTCAACCGAGGCCGACAACTGTGGTTGGGCTCGATCAGGCATTTCGAAGAGTCTGGACCCAAGTGCTTATGGCCTTCATCAACTGGCTAATTCATTCCATGTACAGACAATGCAACGCCGTCATCAATGCTCAGGGAGGCTACACACGATACTGACTTTGAGGCATCATAATGGTACCATTTTTGGTGATTGTGTTTGTGTGAACTAAATGTGATACGCGAAAATGTTGTAACCATTATTATCAAGTTTGAACTCTATCATACGTTTTGATTGTTAATTAAAGTGTGTGCTTTAAGAAACCTGTATCGGTTTTGTGGTTCAGTATATATGGGTTATTTGCATCCATCTATTATATTGACTTGTATCATCGCATAGATAACCCAATCCGATGAACTTGGTATCACGATTTCAAAAATATGCAGATGAGGTTCCCCACCAGAAACTACTTTAAAGCTTAAGATTCAATGTAGGTTTATAACATTGTGTTTTGACAATCTTTAGTAGCCCTGTGTGTATTACAGTGGTGTTGAAGTACTATGTTTTGATGCTTTTGCTGTCAAATGAAATCTGGAACATTCTACTATAGCATAGACTAATCCAGCATACTGTGGGACACTCTGGAACGTACGTAGACTACATAGGAGGGCAGGTGCATGGATCTATGATACCACATGACACCACAGAGCAGCGGTTGTGTGAAGATCATAGATTCACCTGTTACTGCTGAGAGAAGATATTAGCCAAGGCTCAATTGCTAGTTGTATTGCTGTTATATGTTATACCACCAATGCAATTGTGCTACAACCGAATTGTGTACTGTCGCTCATCAATAACAATACAAAACTTTCAGTAATTTACATTGTTTTGTAAACGTATTTTGTTTTATAAGTTTGGTTTCACCCCGAATTCTTTTAATGACAGATTTCTGAATAAACTTAATGTTTCACTTAGGAAATCGACACATGCAGTGCAGTGCTTTCTTGCTTAATAATCGTACCCAACATGCTTGGGTCGTCATTGACATAGTCTATTTGCAGATGGCTATAAGTGCGGAATATCTACGTTGATGCCCAGACATGTAATAAGATAAAGGTAAATTATAAAAAAACTGTCAGCAAAGGACAGTAAAACAACTAGTATGTCACAGATTTCAATTTTAAACTAGTAATTAACACTAAACTACTTTAACTATAGAGGACGATACAATATACAAAATGGCTATACATTACCAACAACTGAAGATAGATCACCATACTAGGGACCATGGGGACTTACAGTACTCTTGCTACCTGCACGGACCCTAGCTGGATTTACACCATCCATTCAGCCGTTAGCAATTTAGATAAATCTAGCCATAGATTAAAATAACGTATATACTACGATTTAAAATAGTAGTAGGTTTAAATGTACTGTGAATGCATTGGGACTTATGTACCCTCTCAGGAGGACAATAATTTTACAATACTTCAACCCCTTTGAGGGTACAGCCACTAACAATCTAAGTTACTAATCTGAACTACCAGTCATTTTAAATACATCTATCTACAGAACATATTAATGAGAATTCATCAATCAAATCAATTTCTTGTAAAGACCAATAATTAAATGAGAATTAACAGAAGTAAAAAGATCCTTAACTGTTTTCACACTGAAATATTTATCCCTTATGATGGAGGATTCAACACAGTCAAGCAGGATATGCTTGACCATGGTTCTCTCATCACAAGGGGTACAAAACGGAGGATCTTCACCTTTTAACAAGTATTTGTGAGTATAACGCGTATGGCCAATGCGACATCGTCGCATAATGACTTCTTCAAATCTGGATTGACAACCCAAGTAGGTGTAACCGATAGTTGGTTTAATTGCATGTAACTTATTTGTTTCTTATTCTGTCATTTACACAGTGTAATTTCAATATCATGCAGACTCTTCCGTCAGACACCGAGTTATGCATAATACTGTGAAGAAAATGAAATATGTTTATCGCTATGCCAGATGTTGTATTGTGAGGCTAAGTGAATAAGAATGACGGTAATGTTGAATTTTACACATTGGTCTATACTTCAGGTATATCACGGCGTGATACCTCCATGTCAGCGTGACCTGAACCTGGTCTGAGACCGCCTTTGTTACACCTGAGATTGGTGTTGAGAAATCCTGGTAAGGAAGAGACTTACCTTGTGTGCAGCCTTCGTCTGAATCACACCAGATCAGGGTGTTTTAAACAAGGAAGTAAATCACAACACGAGGTCAATGTAGACGGCACACATCAACGATAAAATGTGTTGTCACTCTTCCACACACACATGACACTTGTAAAATGATATCATTTGTAATTTAAGGATATGAACGGGTACAATAATATTTGTGAAGCCCATTTCTGGTGTCCCCGCAGTGATATTGTTGGAATACTGCTAAAAGCGGCGAAAAACTAAAACGCACGAACTATTGATGAATATTCAACATGTCCTTTTACTTCAGAGATAATTACAGAATATGTTATCTTTACTATCACAGAGAAGTGGAATACTAAAGAAAGGGAATATTTTCAAAATATTCGCTGGAAAATCATCTACCATTTTCATGCCGTTAAGTTTAAACATATTTTATTGTCCAAAAGACAACGGGATTAGGCACAAGTGCACCACTTGATGGTCGCCTTCTCCCTAAATACAGTTGAACATGACATTACATAATGGGGATGTACAGTTTACAGTGGAAGCTTGACATGGAGGAAACATATGGAGTGTTGATATACATATATACAGTGTTTTACGGGATATATACAGTGTTTTACAGGATATATACAGTATGCTGGAAAGTGGAAAACGTGCATCTCATACATTTGCAAGTTCTATACAGTACATCGTGTATATATAGACAGAACTATAACAACAGTTTGGAAACAATTAGCTGGCGAATCTGTTTGTAGATTCAATATACTTGTGTACAGACAGGAATATATTTTTATTCATCAAATAGTTTACTTTAGGGTCACCGAATATGATAGTGTGCAGTGTCCTCCAAATTTAACATTATCTGAGAATAGCAATTTTCTGAAGTCATAATATAAAGTACATTCGAAAAAAAAAATGAAATGAATTTTCGCATGGCGCGACACATGAACAGGCAATAATATCAGATAAGTTAACCCGAAACAGGTCGGAATTTAATGTGCTGCAACTATGCTTCAATCTAGTGTGCAATACATTTATGTATCTCTTATCGCAATTGTAATACTAGTATGTCGGTGGCAACGCGGATTGCTCCGATGCGACAGTTTTAAAAGAAGATACCGACGGACTGTTACTTACTTTTGCCGGTAGACTACACGTATTCCATTGACATAATGTATCTAAAATATAGGATCTTTTAAACGCGGATGTCAGTGCAAAAGGTATGACAAAATTGTGACAATTCCTGAGATTATATTTGGTGTTTTCTAACACAGATGGTGGTATAAGATCAATAACATATGATAGACATTGATTATTAATTATTGTATACATATGTACAAGTTTGTCGACGTGTCGTCTATGCGCTAGAGGTTGCCACCCAGTTTCATCATATAGGCTTTGACGTGATGAAAATTTGGTTAAGCCTGTTAGTATTCTGGCTGCCTCCAGCTGTAGTAATTCTAATTTCTTAGCATTTTATGGAAGAGCAATTCTCCCAGAAAACGGAAACATACTCTAATGTGGGTCTGATAAACACCAGATATATTTTTGCCAGATTCGATCTACTTAATCACTATTTAAGCATTGTCATCGATGAAACCATTTTTGAAGCACTTATAAGAATAGTGTTGATATGATCATTCCATTTCGTGTTTTGTGATAATGTAATACTAAGATTCTTGTGGCACTCTGCCCTTTCGATACATGCGTTTTTGAAAATAGTGAGTGAGTTTAGTTTTACGCCGCACTCAACAATATTCCAGGTATGGCGGCAGTCTGTACATAATCGAGTCTGGACCAGACAATCCAGTGATCAACAGCATGAGCATCGATCTGTGCAATTGGCAACCGATGACATGTGTCAACCAAGCCAGCGAAACTGACCACCCGATCCCGTTAGTCGCCTCTTACGACAAGCACAGTCGCCTTTTGTGGCAAGTATGGGTTGCTGAAGACCTATTCTACCCCGGATCTTCACGGGTCGTTTTTGAAAATAAACGTTGGTACTTCATCTGAGGGTTTATGTGAGAATAATATATATTTTGTTTTGTTAGGATTGAATTGTACTAACCATGTTTGTGCCCACTTTTGTAACTTGCATAGGTCTTCATTCAATGAGTTTTCGATGTGCCTAACATCTGGAGATGCTATGCCAATGCTTGTATCCTCTGCGAATAAACTTGTCAAGTTAAGTCACAACATATGTCATTAATGTAAATCAAAAATAATAATGGCCTAAGAAGTGATCCCTGAGGGACTCCTGCGTGTAGCGTATGTTCACTGGAGAGCAACCGTTGACACTGACTTCCTGACGTCTGTTAGTGAGATAGCTATGAAACCACTTTAGCGGTTATCATTAATGCCATATTGTTTTAATCTATGTAATAAGCCCTTATGCCAAACTCTGTCGAATGCTTTAGAAATGTCACAAAAGACCATGCAAAAATGTTCGTGCTGATCTAATGACTTACATATTTGGTGGTATATTTCAAGTAGTTGATAAGTGGTCGAGTGACCTGGTATTAATCCTGATTGGTATTTACACAGCAGGAAGGTAAGGATGTATCACCTTTCTTATATATTGGAATGACATGTGTCAGTTTCCATTGTTGTGGAAATTCGTGCTTGAGCAGAGATAAATTGAATAATAAACACAATGGAGTGGCTATAGAATGGACAATATGTTTCAAAAGGCGATGGTTAATGTTATCTTGGCCGCTAGCTTTATTTGTTGGGAGTGTCTTAATCAAATCAGTTACTTCGTGATGTTCAATGTGAAAATCTTGGAGTTTAACAGCACATGGTTATAATCGTCTACATGTGTAACTGAACTAAAATAAGCATTCAACGTCTCAGATGTTTCTCTGAAGATAAGGTTACTTGGCAAATTGTTTTGGTCTCTGAAGATTCACTTCACATCGTTTTATTCAAGCATCTGACAAGCATGGGTTACTGACGAGAATTTTCTCATTCATTCTCTCGGTACAGGTAACGTTCTCGGAGTGAGCATGGACAGGCAGGAAGCTAGGGTTACATGGAAAATTAGGAATCGAAGCATTTAAAACTGTAACTGACGAGTGGAAAATGATTCGGTATAAGGAAACGAAATAGGATTGAATAAAGGAATAATGTCATTCATAACAGCCGCCCCAAATTAAGGGACTTAATTTGAATTTGATCCACAAATGGCATTAATCCAAAAGTTCAGGCAATCGCACAAGGCGCAAAACAGGTCTCTCGTAATGTTTGTCTCCCACACACACTCGAGCCGATCTAACTCGACCATCACTGCTCGGAAATGTCTCTACAATTTTCCCAACTGGCCACTGAACTCTGCTGAGCTACGGATCCACCATCAGTACAATGTCCCCACAGGTAAGTTCACCGGTCTCCTTCGTCCACTTCGACGTAGTTGTAGGTCAGGTAAGTAGTACTTGATGAAGTGAACCAAAAACTGGTCCGCTATCACTTGACTGTGACGCCAGCGCCGCCGCCCCATAAGTTCAGTCACTGTATACACCACTTGCGGCAACGAAGGATTGCGTCTTCCCATAAGCAAGAGGTTTGGTGTGATTGGGATCAATGTCTCTCATATCAGAAGAAGTATACCCTAAAGGTTTGGAGTTTAAAATACCTTCTATCTCGACCAAAACAGTATGGAGTACCATTTCGGTCACACACTGGTCTCTGAATATAACTGCCAATGCAGACTTCAACGACTTGATCTCACGTTCCCAAACTCCACCGAAGTGTGGAGAGTTTGGAGGATTGTACGTCCAGCGAATTTTCTGTTCAGAAAGTCTGTCCATCATTGAAAAGGCTCTTTGAAGTTCTGCATCAGCTCCCTTAAAGATTGTACCTTGGTCTGACAGGACTTCAAACGGTTTGTGTCGCCTTGAGATAAATCTCCGGAAAGCCATAAGAAAGCATCAGTACTGAGACTGTCCAACAACTCTAAATGAAAAGAACTCCCAACCGCTTCTCAACACGTCTGCCAATCTTGACAGACATCAGTCCGAAACAGTCTATTCCGGTGGAATAAAACACAGGTATGTAGAGTCGAAGCCTGGCTTTAGGAAGGTCGTTCATTTTGGGAACAACAGGTTTACCGCGCCATCGTTGGCATTCTGTACAGTTATGTTGGTGCTTTTTGATTGCTTCTCTGCCTCGTAAAATCCAGAATGTCCGTCTCATCTCAGCCAACACTCTCTCTGGTCCAGGGTGCTTAAGATCCTCATCATACTTCTGGATGAGTAACTTGGTGAGGTTGTGGTGTGGATCTAAGATGATGGGATGTTTAACAGAATCTAAAAGACAATCCGCATTTGTTAACCGTCCACCTATTCGAATGAGACCACATTCACTGTCATACACAGGACTAAGGGGGAGTAATCGGCTACTTGGCTGAATCTCCTTCCCACTGGCAAGGTTCGATATCTCCCCTGGGAAAGAATCCTTCTGAATTTGTCGGTAGACTTTATTCTCCACATTCTCAATTTGATCCACAGTGTCGGAAATTCTTTTTGAATCGGCCGCCCCATATAGCTTGGCAATTGACATGACGACCAGATCATTCCAACTGTCATACTGTTTGTCGTCAAACAATGGCTTGGAGACTTTAGTGAATATAGCTCCGCAGAAGGAGTTCTTAACTTCACTGTTGTCTGTCAACACAGGTTTGACTACGGGGCTTGTCCATTTCTCAGGTGGCTCGTACAAGAAAGCAGGACCACAAGACCACTTTGAGTCTTGAATGAGTTCTTGTATGGAAAGTCCTCGTGTAATGCAATCAGCAGGATTGTCTTTTGTGTTCACATACAGCCAGTTCTCCACTTTAGTAAGAGTTTGAACTTCAGCTACCCTCGTACCCACAAATACTTTATATCGACATGGCTCAGAATGAATCCATGCCAGCACAGTTGTGGAATCACTCCACAACATTACTTTCTCGACAGGTAGCGTCAACTCACTCAATAGAACATCAGCTAGTTGTGCACCAGTCAGTGCTGCTGACAATTCTAAGCGTGGGATAGTTTGTTGTTTCTTTGGTGCAACTCGGGATCTAGCTGCAATAAAGGTGACACTAACAGTCTGGTCTTTCATTGTTGTGCGGAGATAGGCCACAGCTCCGTAAATACGTTCTGATGCATCACAGAATACGTGTATCTGTCTCGTTGCTATATCACACAGGTCAATGTCAGGAGTGTAGCATCGTGGAATTTTCACCAATTTAATGTCAACAAGTTCACGGTCACATGCATTCCATTTGTCATAAGATTCTCCTGTTTCAATAGTGGTGTCCCAATCCACTTTGCCTTTCCACAGATCTTGCACAATGATCTTCGCCCTGGCGAGTTAAGGTGGAAGGTATCCCAAGGGATCATATTGGCTGGCTAAGAGCTTGTACATGACTCTCATGCTAAGCTGATAATATGTAATCTGGGGGAACTTGTAGCAGAGCATGTCACTCTTGCACTGCCACTGAAGGCCAAGAGTTGCTTCTAGTGAGTCTTCCTTTCCAAAGTTCAGCCACAATTCACAAGCATCTGACTTAGCATCCGCGGGAAGATCTTCGACAACAGACGGCACATTGGAACACCACTGTCTTATGTTAAAACCACCGGTTGCAAGGACGTTTCTCAGTTCAGTTACCAGTATTTTGGTTTCCAAAGGTGTAGGTGCACTGTGTAGACAGTTATCAACGTAGAACGATTGCAGGATTGCTTCCGAAAGTTCTCCATCGTTCTCTGTATGGTCAATTATTTGTCTCTGAAGGGCATAAGTAGCACAGCATGGACTGCAGGTAGTCCCAAAGGGAAGTACTTGCCACTCGTATGTGTTTGCTGCCACTGATGTCTCCATGTTGCGCCAGATAAAGCGTAGTAGTGGTTTATCCCTGGGCAGGACACGCACCTGGTGAAACATCGCTTGTATATCTCCAGATACTTCAACCTGATGCTGTCGAAATCGCACAAGTACTCCGAGTAATGATGGACCCAACACAGGGCCAGGTAACAGGTAATTGTTCAGTGATATACCAGCTGAGTTGTACGAACAGTTGAACACTAGTCGATGCTTCTGATTGTGGTCAACAACATGATGAGGGAAATACCAAGACTCTGTGCTCGTGCTGATGTCGTCTGGAGTCAGGATTCTAACATAACCAGCTGTCACTAACTTTTCAATCAGGTGATTATGGATATTGGCTAGATCTGGGTTTCTGGCGAGTCTCTTCTCTGTACGCTTGAGAATTGGCATCACAGCTGCCTCAGTAGCTTCGAACTTTGGAGCATCCTTGGCGCGCAATAATGGCCACTGTTTTTCTCCTCCGGGTGATAGAGCTGCTGGTGGATCATCCATCCTGGTGAGGAACAATATTATCCACAGCTCAGTTCCACTTAAAACAAATCTTCAAGCTCTTCAAATAAACAACACGCTATGTCTATCTTTTTTATCTTGAAAAGGCATATGACACGACGTGGAAATATGGCATTTTAAGAGATTTAAATGACTTTGGATTGCGAGGCCGTTTGCCTCAATTTATAGCCAACTTTTTAAATTACAAACAATTTCAAGTCCGCGTCGGTTCTACCCTGTCTGATCATTACAATCAGTATCAGGGTGTACCACAAAGCAGTATTTTGTCAGTCACACTATTTAGTATAAAGATAAATAGATTATTAACATTTTTAAACGATTCACTAGATGGATCGTTATTTGTGGATGATTTTAATATTTCCTGCCGTGGTAAAAATATGCATACTATTGAACGGCAAAATGCAGTTGTGTTTACACAAGATAAATAAATGGTGTCTTGAAAACGGCTTTAAAATTTTCTAAATCGAAAACTAATTGCATGCATTTTGCCGTAAATACAAACCACATAAAGACCCTGAACTACCTAGATGGCACGCCCATCAAAGTTGTGAAGGAGGCCAAGTTCTTTGGTCTAATTTTTTTTACTCACACTTAAATTTTCTGCCACATATTAAATCCCTTAAAAGCTAAATGCCTGAAGGCACTTGACTTGTTGAAAGTGGTTTCAAATTCCTAAAATGGGAGGGATCATTCATTTTACAGATGGGTCCGAGAATGGTGGCGCAGTTGCTTGTGCCACTGTCATTGATTCAAACAATATCTTCTTGATTGCCCAATAACAGCCTCTATTTTCACAGCAGAAGCTAACGCCATATTAACAGCTTTTAAATGTGTTAATAAACACCGTAAATATAAACAATACATCATCTTTTCCGATTCTCCTTCATGCCTTCAAGGCCATTAAAATCTTTCTTGTTAACATTCCTTTTTAATAGAAAATATAGAATTATTTAATGAACTTGCTACTTTCCAATGCGACATCGTCTTTTGTTGGTTACCCAGCCCCTTTGGTATGTCTGGGGAACACAATGGCCGATTTTGCTCAAGGCAGCAGTCAACAAATCTGTGACACCACTTCTTATTCCATACTCTGATTACAAGGCTAGCATTAGAATTTACATCATTGATCTGATGCAGAAGAAGTCGGACACCCAGGTAGGTATAAATACATTACATGCAATAAAACCCTCTTTCGGTTACACCTATTTGGGTTGTCAGTACAGACTTGAAGATGTCGCATTGGCCATACGCATTATACTCACAAATACCTGTTAAAAGGTGAAGATCCTCCGTTTTGTATCCCTTGTGATGAGAGAACCACGGTCAAGCATGTCCTGCTTGACTGTCTTGAAGTTTCCATCATAAGGGATAAATATTTCAAAGTAAAAACTGTTAAGGATCTTTTAATAGTGTCAATTATCATTTTATTATTGAATTTTTAAAGCAACAGAACTGATACATGAATTTTGATTCATATGTTTTGTACATACATGTATTTTAGTATTGGTGATTTAAATTAGAAACTGAATTTGTAAGTGGCTATACCAAGTCCCAAAACATTTCAAATAAATTTAAGTGTACCAGGTTTTTAATCGTAGTATTTTTGTCATCTTAATGTATGGCTATTATCTCAGCATAACCGCCAATGGATGAAGGGATGGTGTAAAATCCAGCTAGGGTCCATGGAGGTAGCAAAGGCACTGTAAGTCCCCATGGTCCCTAGTATGGTGATCTACCTTCAGTTGTTGGCGATTACTAGCCCACTTTTAAATTGTATTGTCCAAAAATAGTTTTCTACTTTTAAAGATATATGCTAGCTAGTTTTAACTCATTTTGTGATAATCTAGTAATTTTACTGTCCTTCGTTGACAGGGTTTTATATATTATATGTATATATTATGAATTAAGAACTAGTTTTAGTCTCACTCACTCACAATATGGCTGAAATATTGCCCATGTGACTTTGAATTTTAACTCTCACTCACTCACTCACTCACTCACTCAATCACTCTTAGCAGTAAATAACTGAAGAGAATCTGGGCATCGTATGCTTCACATCTTCCAATAACTGAAAAATGTTTTAGGGCAACGAAGCCTCCCATGATATTTCTTACGTTCAAATTGTTTCCCCAAAGTACAAAAAAAGTAATAAAATTGTTTGAATTTTTCTATATATTCATATTTTGCTTCACATGTTTCCTAAATTTAATTGTGATATCTTTATTCACTTTCAAGATATTGTTCAGACGGACGGACGGACATCACCCACTCCTGAAGCCACCCTCCACTTTGTGGCGGAAATACACTAATACGGGAATTTCTGCCAACTACACCTGAAATACTCAATCCATTTAAATAGCAAAATATTTATAAGTACGTTTTGTAAGATGATAATAATATTAAGTCCGTTAGATGTCTCAATAAAATTTTAGCACTACATTTCTTTCAGTTAGAAACTGATATATTTTTTAATGGTTTTTCTTTTACTAATATATCACACACAAGCTATTTTGTTGGCATTTATTCCAGTCATGCACCAGCATTAACATTTATACATGTTTTATTATGTAAATTATACCTTATTGTAAATTTCAAATTAATGATATCGGCCAAGAAATGAAATTTGAACACCAATGCAACCCAAACCAACAATTAAAGTCACGATTTGAGACGACCCTAAATAACAATGCACGTGCAAATGAATCTTCCTGTCTCAACCGGGCCGCATGCAGTTGTTGACATTTGTTTTCTATTTCCGCGAGCACTTTAGGTTTCATGCAGATAGCAAAAGCACTGTACTTTACCTCTGATATGGTGATCTATCTAATTGATGACAAACAATTTCAAGTCCGCGTCGGTTCTACCCCTGTCTGATCATTACAATCAGTATCAGGGTGTACCACAAAGCAGTATTTTGTCAGTCACACTATTTAGTATAAAGATAAATAGATTATTAACATTTTTAAACGATTCACTAGATGGATCGTTATTTGTGGATGATTTTAATATTTCCTGCCGTGGTAAAAATATGCATACTATTGAACGGCAAATGCAGTTGTGTTTACACAAGATAAATAAATGGTGTCTTGAAAACGGCTTTAAATTTTTCTAAATCGAAAACTAATTGCATGCATTTTTGCCGTAAATACAAACCACATAAAGACCCTGAACTACCTAGATGGCACGCCCATCAAAGTTGTGAAGGAGGCCAAGTTCTTTGGTCTAATTTTTTACTCACACTTAAATTTTCTGCCACATATTAAATCCCTTAAAGCTAAATGCCTGAAGGCAAATTTGACTTGTTGGAAAGTGGTTTCAAATTCTAAATGGGGAGGGATCATTCATTTTACAGATGGGTCCGAGAATGGTGGCGCAGTTGCTTGTGCCACTGTCATTGGATTCAAAACAATATCTTCTTGATTGCCCAATAACAGCTCTATTTTCACAGCAGAAGCTAACGCCATATTAACAGCTTTTAAATGTGTTAATAAACACCGTAAATATAAACAATACATCATCTTTTCCGATTCTCCTTCATGCCTTCAGGCCATTAAAATCTTTCTTGTTAACATTCCTTTTTTAATAGAAATTATAGAATTATTTAATGAACTTGCTACTTTCCAATGCGACATCGTCTTTTGTTGGTTACCCAGCCCCTTTGGTATGTCTGGGAACACAATGGCCGATTTTGCTCAAGGCAGCACTCAACAAATCTGTGACACCAC